GTGCTTTTCCAAATGTGCATTAAATTTAGTACCTCCAATGTGAGGTACTACACAAATGTGCATTAGGCTGCTTTAATGCACAGTAATGAATGTGCACTGTTTTTAAGTGATGCTTAATGCTCAGTAGCTTATTTTACTGTGAATTAGCCTAATAGCACTGTTTTTACATGACGCTTTAATGCACAATAAAGTAGGCTACTGTACATTAAAGCTCATATGTAGATGTGCCCACAGTGACCCTAGTATTTCCTTCTTGGACTCTCACATTTCTCACTCACCTTCTTCTGGGCTTCTGCCTTTAGCCTCCTATATTGGGACTTCTACTTCTCAGCTCTTGCCCTACTACTAGCACCCCACCTCCAACCATCCCCTTATACACTGGCCCCCATCTATGCACCATATTCCTGCTCCTATGGCTTGCATTTTGGTGATGACTCAGTTGTTCCCCATATCTTCTATCTTGTTTCCCCTTCTTAAATCTCCAGGTCCTCTAACTCCTGTACATCTATGTCCTCTCTAGTCTTCTACTTCTGTTAATTTTGCTCCCATTCCCATACTACCTATTGTTACTGGGACCCTACTGTTAGTTCCCTTCCCTGTCTCTGAGACCACCATTTCTTCTCAATTTTATGCTCACGGAACACACTCCCTGCAGAGCACAGCGACCTGTTCCTTCACCTCTCTGCTCCCAGCTATCTCCCATTACGAGGAGCTGGATTCTTTCCAGGCTCCGCCTCTGCTTGATTTCTGGCTCCTATAGAGCACAATCAGCCCCTTTCACTGCCCCTCCCCTAGGCACCTCCCCACATGTTTCCTTGTTAGATTATTCCTGGGAGATTGATTTACAGATCTGATATATCTAATTATATCCATTCTTGTCTAATATGAATGGGAATTCTGCTAGGAGTCAGGATTGCCAAAAATGTTTTGACCCAGGAAAGAGGAGGAGGCTGCTGCATATGCAAATCAGACCCTATAAAAATCCCCTGGGACTAGGGTGTCTTGTCCTTCCAAAGAGAGCTTTAAGGTAAGAGTGTGTGGTGCTTGGGTTTGAAGGGTGGGGAGGGGATCCCACCCTACATTCCACACATACCACTGCATTCCCACTGCCTCTGCTACTCATTTCTATGACAGATTGCCTGTATCAGCAAGGATTGCAAATCTGCTTTTCAAGACATCTATATTTTTAATAGTGAATTATGTATAGTTTCATGCAGCAGTAAGTAGGAAATTGCCATTTCTATTTTACAGTATTGACCGGCTTTTAGCTTGCCTACAATCCTCTGGTGTCACAAGAGGTAAGAGCCTGATTTTCTAATTCCTAGAAAGTATGAATAGATTCTCTAGGTGGCATTTCTATATGGCTAGTGGGTAACCTCTACATCTGCTAATAATTATGCCCAGTATGCAAATAAATTACATATTCTACATGGATTATGCTATGGCAGGAAAGGACTCCAGCAAATCTGAACTAGAAACCAGTGGTCACTGATGGCCTGCCAGTCAGTGTCCTCACTAAGACTCCTCTCTTGCACACACTCTTTACAACATATTGGTACTCAGCAAGTTCTTACACTTACAACTCTTAGGTTATGAACCAGAATGTCACAACTGAGAAAAACCCACTAGTTGACAAGCTAATTGTTTGCCCACAGAATTTAACCTTACTGCAAAAATCAGAAATCACTGCTGATAGCTGTTCTGCAATAAAAAGAGATACATAGTTGTCTATTTTTGCACAGAGTAACTCTGAGTAGACTTAGAATGCTGTGTGCATAGGCGATGCATAGTGGGGGCATGTGCTGCCCCAGAGATTGGCCCTCACTGGCTGGAGAGTGGGGGTGCCGAGAGAAGCACCGATGGCACTTCCCCCCGGTCAGCGATCAGCAGCTGGGGGATCTTCCCCCCCCTCCTGCCTCCTGGTCGCCGATTGGCCACCGGTGCCCACCCCCCCGCCGCCCCAACTCAGGAGGCACCAGTTGCCCATGGCTGTGTGTAAAATTCAGGCAGCAGCTGTCCCTTTCACACTTAACTCCCTTATAAAATTTTAAGTGAAAGATCAAACCATTGCACAAATGTACATTTAAATAAGGACATTATAAAGGAATAACAGAAAAATAAAGGTTTGCTCACACATTTTTGGATAAATGGAGGAGAAGAGACAAATGGAGTAGCTATTAAATTTAAACTTTTAACTAAATAATTTCCACACATGGACATTTGAAAAATTGCTGAGGAGCACGAAAACCATGTTGGGATAGTTATAGAGGGAAAAAAGACAGAGAGTTACCCATAGTTAAAAAGAATAAATGGAATGACATGGGTAATTGCAGGGTGATGAGCCTGACATTCATTTAAGGTAAAATCAAATACAGGCTGATACATATTCCTGTATTAACAGGAGTGTCACCTGCAAATCAAGTGCACTTTTGCTCTATTCAGCATTAGTGAGGCCTCACATGGAGTACTGTATCCATTTTTGGGCCCCATACTTCAAGAAGGATGCAGACAGTTTGGAAAGCGTCCAGTACAGGGCAAAAGAAATGATCAGGAGCCTGAGAAACAAGACTAATGAGGAAAGGATGAAAAAAGGTTATTTAGCCTGGAGAAGAAAAGGTAGAGGGTGGATTTGCTAACAGTCTTCAAATACCTGAAAGGTGATTATGGAGAGGATGGAGATGGGCTTTCCTCTGTGGCCACATGGGGCAGGACTAAAAGCAACAGCCTTAGGCTGCAACAGAAGAAATTTGGTCTGGAGATTAGAAGGAACTTTTGGACTGTGAGAGCGGCCAGGCATTGGATCAGGGTATCTAGAAAAGTTGTGGAATCTTTATCCTTGGAAACTTTCAAAAGCAGGTTAGACAGACACTTGCCTGGGATGGTTTAGTGAGGGATGATCCTGCTTTAAGTGGAGATGACCTTATGAGGTCCCTTTCAACACTACTTTCCTATGAGCCTATGATACTATAATACAATCAGGAAATAATTAAAAGCATGGTTATATGGAAAATACATCTTGTCAAACAAACTTTGGTTGGTTAGTAAGGATAACTTAATACTATATAAGGGGCTACAGTAAGGCATTGGACTTAGGATTGTACTAACATTCTGGTAAAAATATAAATAGCACAACACAAAATCAATGTTGGTTATGTTATATGGATTGAAAGTTGATATCTAATAGATGCCCCTGATGTATATAATTATATAAAAGAAAAGAGTCATCATTGTTTAGGGGTTTACCTAGTACAGTCATCATCCAATGGGTTTATTTCAATTAGGGTGTCACAGGGCCTGTTCAATGCTATTCTATCTTTTTATCAAATATCTATAATAATAATAGGCTTATCCTATCTGTCTAGGACACTCTGATTGGTTGTTTTGGCAGCCAATCACAAAGCTTACTGAAACAACCAATCAGAGTGCTCCAGACAGAATAAGCCTATTATTATTATAGATCCTCAGGCATTTCAAGCTGATATGCAGGCAAGTCAGAGCTAGAATGAAACACTGGGGACCCCCCCACCGCAGAGCAGCCAGACTCTGCTGAAGGGAGGGAGGGTCCCCATCCTTTGTTTTCCCCGGAGCCTGCCCACCTCTCAGGGGGGCGAGCTGCTGGTGCGCCCTGAGCTGCAGGGCACCCTAGTGCTTCCCTCTGCAGTGGCTGCAGCCCCCAGGTGGCCAGTCTGCTTTTACCACCCAAATCCAAATAATTAATGAATATGTTAAAAAGCACCGGTCTGAGTACTGAACTCTGAGGGACGCCATGGGTCACCAAGTACCACGTTGACTCAGTTCTATCTATTATTACTCTCTGGGTCCTGCCTTGGAGCTAGTTCCCCAGCCACCGGACCATTAGGTTATTGAGGCTGAAGTTCCCCAATTTTACCATGAGCATGTCATGGGAGACCAAGTCAAAGGCTTTTTTGAAATCCAAGTATATGACAACAACCCCATGTCCCTTATTCATCTCCATACAATTTTGAAGAGATCAGTAATAGAATAATATTTCCAGATAGCTATGTTTTTAAAAATTTGCTGAGAAATTAGAAAAGGTTCAGAAAAGAGCTACAAAAATTAAGGCAAAAATCCAATGAAGTAAAGAAGTTCAGTCTGCTATTTCATCAAAGAAAAGGTTAAAAGGTGACTTTTGTCATGGTTTAAAAATGCAGACAAGAAAGATTTCTGAGAGCAGGTTACTTTTTAAGTTAGGAGAAAAAGGTATAAAAAGGTTCAATAGATAGGTAAAACTAGATAAATTCAAACTAGAAGCAAAGCACAAATTTGTAACAGTAAGTATAATTAATTGTTGGGAAAGTTTACCTAAGAATGAGATGGTTTCTCCATTGCTGGAAGTATTTAAATTAAACTTAAATTGAAAAAAGTTACTGCAGTTCACAGAGAAGTCTGAAGACTTGATGCAGATATTTTTGGATGTGAGATTCTCTGGCAGAAATCAAAATAAGAAAAAAGAAATACGAGTTTTATTTAATAAAGAGATCAAAGTACAAGATCAAAATAGCCACTTCTGTCCTTAAAGTACAGAATCTATGAAAATCTATTCATTAAAATATGGATCTATGGAAAGCCTAAAATACATGACAACTTGGAGGCATATTATCTATCTAGTGCAAGAAAATTCTTGATCAAAATGCTAGCAATTCAGTCTCTGTCCTCTGATTCTCCTCATATGCACTTTTCCTGTGACCTCTCCACTCTTTCATTATTACAATAGCATATAGTAAAAAATGTACTGAGTAGATAGAATATTAAAGGACATTCATCATTCCCAGCATGATGTTCAATTCTCATGGTCCTTCCTGTAGACATTTGTTTTCACTATTCCTATCAACAAATGTAATGGCATGATTGAGAACTCTCCTGAAAGACAAACGAACAACATGAAAATGTTTCTTCCATTCCCATTGTGAATTATCAGTGTAATATGTTTACTTCCCACCAGAACCCATTGCTGAGCTGCCCCACAATACACTGGAGCCATGTCTTCCGACGCCGAAATGGCTGTCTTTGGGCCAGCTGCTCTTTACCTCCGAAAGTCAGAAAAGGAGAGAATTGAGGCGCAAAACAAGCCTTTTGATGCCAAGTCATCTGTCTTTGTGGTGCATGCTAAGGAATCCTATGTGAAAGGCACTGTCCAGAGCAGGGAAGGAGGGAAGGTCACAGTCAAGACAGAAAAGGGAGAAGTGAGTAAACACAAAGAGCAAAGAGTAATGTTGTTGTCCTCCTCTGTGCTCTTAACTGAGATATTTTTTTTAATTTCCTTTGCAGACTCTCACTGTCAAGGATGATCAAGCCTTCCCTATGAACCCTCCCAAGTATGATAAAATTGAGGACATGGCTATGATGACCCATCTCCATGAACCTGCTGTCCTGTATAACCTCAAAGAGCGTTATGCAGCCTGGATGATCTATGTATGTACAGGTTGAAGTCTTCCAAAAGTGCAAGTACATTAAGTCATGTGGAAATCAATCTAATTATCTACCTTTCTTCCAGACCTATTCAGGTCTCTTCTGTGTCACTGTCAATCCCTACAAGTGGCTGCCAGTGTACAATGCAGAAGTGGTAACTGCCTACAGGGGTAAAAAGCGTCAAGAGGCTCCTCCCCACATTTTTTCCATTTCTGACAATGCCTATCAGTTCATGTTAACTGGTGAGTGGCTCATTGTATCAGCATGTTTAAAGAGAATGATAGTTTAGTAAGGGGAATCAAGTGTTCATGTCAGAAATGAGGACACAAAAAAAGATTGAAAATAAATTATAAATCTGTTGGAATACATTGGAAGCCAGACTGCTCTTATCTGATACTCAGCTTATCTGAATCAAAGTATTCTCAGATGTCTTACTACTTAGGATTGCATACAAGCTAATGCTTTTCAGATTCATTGCAAAATGAGTGCATTGTGATAAATTACTATAAGTTTTAGGTCAAGTCATTCTATACAACACTTTGCTGTGCAGAGATCAAGCAGATTCACAGAGGATTTTGTAACAGGAAAATGAGTATAATAGGTATATAAGTTGAACTGAAGGTCATATGTCCTATGATGGCTCTATTGATCAGTATAAGATTATATATACAAGCATACACACACACATATTTGTGTGTGTATTATTATATATAGTTTTATATATAATTACAGTTGGGATCTTCAAAATGGACTAAGAGAATAAAGTGCCCAGTTCCTAGGGACTTCTAGTTGGAGCTGGTTGCCATGTAGTCTTGGGCCTTTTAAAACCCAAGCTAACACATTTCACAGTTTTCAGTAAGTTCAGTGGTACTCAGGAATATTAAAAGTCACCTTTATTTTTTCTCTTTCACAGATCGGGAAAATCAGTCAATCTTGATCACGTAGGTCTTCTCCCCTGCTTTGGTTAATTTTTGTTTTGCCACCTGCAGCGGGATCAGCTGGCTGACTCTGCTTCTCTGTTTTGTTTGACAGTGGAGAATCTGGTGCAGGAAAAACTGTGAACACAAAGCGTGTCATCCAGTACTTTGCAACAATTGCAGTTTCTGGGGAAAAAAAGAAGGAAGAGCAGCCTGGCAAAATACAGGTGATTTATTGGAGATGAGATTAAGTGCTCCATGCTGTAAGTGCACATGATTTAACAAAGGAATTTGGCAATAACAATTTCTTTGCAGGGGACCCTTGAAGATCAAATCATCAGTGCCAACCCTCTGCTGGAGGCCTTTGGCAATGCCAAGACTGTGAGAAATGACAACTCCTCACGCTTTGTAAGTGTTATCAGAATTATCTGCAGTCCACTGATGGAATATGATAAAATACATCTTGGCTGAGATTTAAAATTTGTTTAAGACCTTAAGCAGCTCTGAAAACTGTACTCCTGGAGTTTGACACACAGGATTTCAAAATAAATTACTTATTTTTTTTCCTTTAAAGGGTAAATTCATCAGAATCCACTTTGGTGCCACAGGGAAGCTGGCTTCTGCTGACATTGAAACATGTAAGAGACCTTCCTGGACATATCCAATATTCCTTCTTAATTATTCTCATTCTATTTTCTTGTGGCTAACTGCATTTTATGGGTCTTGCCAGATCTGCTGGAGAAGTCTAGAGTTACATTCCAGCTCAAGGCAGAAAGAAGCTACCACATATTTTATCAGATCATGTCCAACAAGAGGCCAGAGCTCATTGGTAAGAGGCATCACTAACATTTTGGATAGCAGCTGATCATGAATGAACTTTGTTACACAGTGTCTAAAACTAAACTCATTTCTTAAACTTAAATCTTGTTTTCAGAGATGCTTCTGATTACCACCAACCCATATGACTTTCATTTTGTGAGTCAAGGGGAGATCACTGTTGCCAGCATTGATGACCAGGAAGAACTGATGGCTACAGATGTAAGTAACATTCAGAAGTTAGCACATAGGCCATTATCCATATCTGAAAAGGAAGAAGAATCACTAGTGACTTCAGCACTTTAAAAAATTTTACCCAAGATCTTTCCTTTCCTGATTCTGTTGCTAGAGTGCCATTGATATCCTGGGGTTCAATGCTGATGAAAAAACAGCTATTTACAAGCTCACAGGGGCAGTCATGCATCATGGAAACTTGAAGTTCAAGCAGAAGCAGCGTGAGGAGCAAGCAGAACCGGATGGCACAGAAGGTATCTGCAGAATCTGCAACTGACCTCTTAAGAATACAAACAAAAATTGCATTGTATCAGTATTATTATTTTTCTTTTATTTTTGCTTGCATTTTGCTCACTTCTGCTGAGCTGGATCTTGGCAGAGCTTGAGGGATAGAGGGAGCTGGCTCTAAAGAATAATTTATGTTATACCATGAAATATTTTCTCTTCTTGACCACTTTTCTAACCCAGAAATTCTAGGTTGGAAGGGGCTCTTATCCCAGCCCCCTTCTGCTCCAACATATTCCCAACTCATCCTTCGTAATAGGAAGCAACTACACCACCTCACCTTTCAAGGCATACCCAGATGACCCTGCACAGATGATTCCCCAGGGAGAAATAGCAGCAGCACAGCTGTACCACTGCTACTTGTTCCTTGGGAACAACCATGCACATGCACTCTGATGCACAGCAAGTTGCCCTGGGTAGGCTAGGGGAGACTGGGGCCACCACCTGGGCTAGCTCCAGAAGCGTTACCTGGGGTCCTGGGTGGGGGCCTGCCATGGCTCCAGCAGTGGTGATCTAGCAGCAGGAAGCCTGACCAGCAGCTAAAGTGTGGCTTCAGAAGGCCAGGCTCTGGTTTTAGGAGGTTCATGCTGCTGCACATGTGCCCTGCTTTTTTCTAGCATTGTTCTTTTTTACACTGGGATCTCCTGGTGTCAAAAAAACCCTCTGCACTGCCAATTAGCAGCATGAAATGCTTGCATGTGTATCGTGTGCAGCACTACATATTGTACTTGCTCACTTGTCTGAATGCACCATAAGTGCTTAACTTTGATATCTGGCTGTTATGACATTATTGAACCAGCATTTGTCATGTTTTTCTAAACCTAATGCTTTTCACTAGGAAAGGTTTAGCAAATTTGTTTGTATAATAGACATGCCTGAAAAAGTGTTTCCCCCCCACTTTTATGAAATAGGCAGAAATTTTATTTTTCTAGTGTATTTAAAGAATGAAATGTTGTTTTTTTCCCCTTAATAATCAGGAGCAAGGGATATGGCTTTAGTTAGGCTGACAAGAAATAGAGAGAAATAAAACTGTTTGAAAATAGCAAGGATGGCATATACAGTTCTTTATCTTCCTATAGACAGTAGATATAACAACATGCAAAAAGATGCACTCTATCCATTTCCATGTGAAATTATGTGCATTTCTTTCCTATAAGCTGCTGAAATAAATGCATATAGAGTAACATTCTAGTTCCTTTTATGCACCTAGATGACAATTTTCTAGACATGTAAATGGCTTTTTTTGGCACTTACACACAGATTGCATTTCTGTTAGCCCTGCACTGTGGACACATAAGCATGAGTGCATACAAAACTATGCACTGGGCAGGTACATATACAGCTACCTAGATGCACCCATTTTGGACAATATGTTATGAAAATGTATCTGGCCAGAAGCCCAGTAGTAACAGCAGAACTCTGGCATGTTTTTGTTCATGTAGCTGAATGGTTAAGGGTACTTAGCTAGGAAGCAAGAGACCCATATTTTAAAGTCTGTTTACCCACCAGCAGTTGGGACCTGCATCTGCCTTCTCAGTCTAGAGTGTTACCCAGTACACCGTAGGACAGGTATCATCCAGTCCTTTCCAGCGTTCCTTTTGAAGCTGGCCCCCTGGGGCAGCCAAGTAGGGCAGATATGTGCAGCCAGAAAGAAAGAAACAAATGAAATTATAGTAGCTGGAAAGATGCAGATGAAAGTGCAGTGAGGTGGTTGCTGCACTGTGGGGTGACTCGCAGCTAGATATGGTCCAGGGGCCGGAGCACCATTGATTTACATGTTTATGTAGGAATGAAAGCATAGCAAAAAACCACTCTAATTTTAACCCTACTTCTTCCAGTGTCAAAGTTTAAGGCAGTTTATCTAGTTATTATTCAGAGATAACAGTTAGATGGTAAAAGCTGCTGTGGCCCCCAAACAGAAGTTCCCATTGACCTTTTAAAGAAGCAAAAATGTACCTTTATTCCTATTGTAGGTGTTTTGCACTGGAGTGAATGAGGACATAAGGTGCAGAGCAAAGGTCTTTCTTTAGAATTAAACATAACTGTAACTCTCTATTAAACTGCTGCATCCATATTAATATCATTTTACGGATGCAAATTTACAAACAAAAATCAGGAATTGGTGTTATGACTGTAACAGCAAATGATTCCTACCACATATGCAGTATTTATTTATTTATTTATTTATTTATTTATTACTAATGTCTCTAATCAGTTTTCCAGCCCTCCAGGTTTAGGTCATTTAAGAATGAGCTTTTTGGTTGTTTATGATATTACCAGTAATATTGCAGTAATGCATTATTAAGTTTAAAAGCAACAATTTAAGACGGTTTGGTGGTTTTGATAGGGATGATCCTGCCTCAGGCAGGGAGTTGGATTAGATGACCTCTAGAGGTCCCCTCTAGCCCTACTTCTCTATGATTCTGTGATAGGCTATGCAGTGGCTGGGCATCTATGTGCATACCTGAGCTTAAGTCTGGAAGAAGGGCTCCCATGTTTAGGGGTATACTTAATTTGCAGCTTCATGGTTTTTGTGGAAACCATGAAAAACAGCATTGTCCATGTCCAGCAGGAAATATTGCATTAGCCATGATTTCCCACAAAATCAACCTAACCTCCTTCCTCTGCATATTATTCATATAATACATTGCTTTAGAATGTCCCAATGTTTACCACAATACAAAAACAGCACGAGTCACTGCAGCCATAGATCACATGATTGACAGGTACTGTCTGCTAATGATGTAAACTAAATGAAGGCACAGTCAATGAAGTGAAAATGTTTCAGCGCCATCTTTTAAGAAGTTAAATGCAATGCCAATGCCCCTCTGCCAGTCAGCAGTGAGGGGCAGGGCTGCTGGGAAATACCAGTGAAATCAGCTTTTCATGCTGCGACCAAGCTGCAAAAATTGTTTTGTCTTGCTGTGAGTTGAGTACACTCCTACCCATTTTGTAGCCCCAGTAACAGAGTGGTCAGGGCCACACCACAGATTAAGCATTATCTAGTCCCTATTGTTAGTGCTCCTTTTAAAGCCATTTTGCATTTAAATGCCCTTTAAAGTTAATGTTCATTCCTACATTTTTCTTCTACTATCACCATGAAGATTTTATGGAACTCTAAAGCTCCATCATTAGTGCAGTTTTTACTGTATATAGTTTCTAGGGCAACACAAACAGATCATACTACCCTTTTCATGTTGTTTTATTTAAAGAGAAGTCTCTCTATAAACTAATAAAGCATTCCTCTTCATGTGTGCCCAGTTGCTGACAAAATCGCCTACTTGATGGGTCTGAACTCAGCTGACCTGCTTAAAGCCCTTTGTTACCCCCGAGTCAAGGTCGGGAATGAGTTTGTGACCAAAGGTCAAACTGTGCAACAGGTAACAAACCACCGGTGGATTTAGAAATCATGGTTTGCATTAGCATCCTATGTTTCTTCCTCTGTTTTGTATGATAAATCCAGTCCTTTTCTCGTTGGTTTAGGTGTATAATTCAGTTGGTGCTCTCGCAAAGTCTGTCTTTGAAAAGATGTTCTTGTGGATGGTTGTTCGCATCAACCAGCAGCTGGATACCAAGCAGCCTAGACAGTACTTCATTGGTGTGCTGGACATTGCTGGCTTTGAAATCTTTGATGTAAGGAACAGGGATTTAATAGCACTTTCTTGGGGGTTCAAGAGTTCTAAGTACTTGTAGTATTTTTTAACAATATTTATTTTTATTAACCTTTTGGTAAAAAATATAATTTATGTGCATCTACCCTGGAAATAGCATGATTCCTAAAAACTAAACTAGCAGTTCACAGAACAGAGATTTACAGTAGTTAAATTTTCTTTTTGCATTCATGCAGTACAACAGCTTGGAGCAGCTGTGCATCAACTTCACCAATGAGAAACTGCAACAGTTTTTCAACCACCACATGTTTGTGCTGGAGCAGGAGGAGTACAAGAAGGAAGGGATTGAATGGGAATTCATTGACTTTGGGATGGACTTGGCTGCCTGCATTGAGCTCATTGAGAAGGTATTTATGCAACATACGATCAAGAGTTTGTTGGTTTCTAAAGGACTTTTTCATATTCAAGATAGTTAAAATTATACTTAAGTTCATGCTTGAAGGCACGCAATATGTTTTATAAATACCAAATAATTAAGTAAATATATTGATCATAGTTTATAAACCTGTCTGCATTCAGAAATAAGAAAAGTAGAAGACAGCATTGTAATTCTGACAAATCACAAATTTAGGGACACAGGAAAAGGTCAGTATAAGCTTTAGGGCTGTTTCCATATTGGATACATTATCTATTTTTGGAATTCCAAAAGAAATATTCTGCCTCACTTCCAAAAATAGGATTTTGAAAGGTTTTGGAATACTTTTGTTTCAGTCAGTTTATAATAAAATTTGTCTAGCACATCCAAAGTGAATTTTAATGATCTGTATCCTTATTACATCCAAAAGTCCAAATAGGGTAGCTTACTTCCCCTCTAGTTGACTACACTTCCTCTGCAGCAATAGCCTTTCTAATTAACAATAAAAGGATAGGGACAAGTTGTTAATCTCTCTGTGTCTCTTTCTTTCTGTACTGCTGTTCCTTTCAGCCTATGGGTATTTTCTCCATCCTGGAAGAGGAGTGCATGTTCCCCAAGGCAACTGACGCTTCCTTCAAGAACAAGCTCTACGATCAGCATCTGGGCAAGTCCAACAACTTCCAGAAACCGAAGCCTGCCAAAGGAAAGGCTGAGGCCCACTTCTCCCTGGTGCACTACGCAGGCACTGTGGACTACAACATCACTGGCTGGCTTGAGAAGAACAAGGACCCCCTGAATGAAACTGTCATTGGGCTGTACCAGAAATCATCATTGAAAACACTGGCTCTGCTCTTTGCTGCATATGGTGGAGCAGAAGGTAGCAATAGCTGTAAAACTAGTTTTTTATTTATTCATAGCAGATGCTTCCTGTAAAATTAAGGGAAAAAGTATAGTTTTAAATGCAAAATGTTTGTTTTTATAAATGTATAAACTTTAAGGCCAGAAGGGGTTTTGTTGCTATTAACACAGACCATAGGACTTAACCAAGCAATTCCTTCACTAGGCAAGATTATTCTCCTTCTTACTACATAATGAATCATGTCTGCACTCTTTAAATTGTAGTTGGATTAGAGTGTATCTTTACATTTTAACTTGAAGTAGTTCTGAGTTTTGATGAGGTGTTCCATTTTATTTCCCACTTGAATTCTCCTAACTGTCACTTCCAGTTATTAAATTGTATTCTCTTTCTTGTCTTTGTTTCCTTTTAAAAGACAAATAAGTCAGTGTTCTGCAAATGTTAATAGTTTCTTTATTTTGTCTTGTTTAGAGAGTGGTGGTGGCAAGAAGGGCGGCAAGAAGAAGGGTTCTTCTTTCCAGACTGTCTCTGCTCTTTTCAGGGTACAGTACAGTGTTCATTATAAATCTTTCTTTCCATGACAAAGTGACAAAACTCACTTTAATGCTAAAAATGTGTTTTCTAGACAAAGGCCAGTGATGTCCATAAGGTAACAAAGGCTATAATAAATTCCCACTGAGTTATTGAGCATATTGACTTACTAGGCATAGCCCTATAGACCAAAGCTGTCTTCTCTCTGGGGCTGATATCAGAAACAACACAAACAAAACAGTGTATATGTTGGAGCTGAAAATGCCCCTCCCCTCCAGCCCCTTTCAGAAACAATTATTTCAGGCCCCTCACACTTCCCTCTGTCATCCACTCAAAGGTCCTAATTCTCCTTTGCCTTCCAAAATTGGTGCCACTTTGCACAAGTATAAAGAGGTGTAAAACTGGATATGCAGTGCTCCAAATCAGAATCCTGCACAGATTTATATGACTGATAGTATCTGGCACCTACAGTGCACATATTTTGCTTATGTGCAAATAACTATTCAAAGTGCTGTTCAAAGTGCGGGGTAGAAACAAGCCCAAATACTCCACCCAAGTTCGTGTTTTACCTACTTACCTTGTTTATTAAAAAGAATCAGAATACATTTATGCTGTTTTACCTAGACCGTTTTAAAGATGTCTTCTCTTCCAGCAACTACATTTGATTTTCTGTCACCCATGGCAGCCATTTCATATTGGATCAGTAGAGATATTTTTAGAGCAACATTAATCTACTTTTCAAAATATATGGCAGTTAATTTGTCTGAATTTCAAATGTTGGTCAACTACTAATTATAATATAATTATAATGACTGTACTGCACCTAACAGTGTGTTGGCATATTTAAAAGTGGTTAATATGAACTTTTTCTTATGGTCTCACAGGAGAACTTAAACAAGCTGATGTCCAATCTGAGAAGCACTCATCCTCATTTTGTACGATGCCTCATTCCCAATGAAACAAAAACACCTGGTAAGAAGCTCCAGTACAAAGAGATGCTAGTGTGATGTAGCTCCTCTGTGCTATACAGTAAGATACTGATTCCTGCTGTGTTTTGTTAAGGTGCCATGGAACATGAACTGGTGCTGCACCAGCTGCGGTGTAACGGCGTGCTGGAAGGGATCAGAATTTGCAGGAAAGGCTTCCCCAGCAGAATCATTTATGCAGACTTTAAGCAGAGGTCAGACTCCTCTACCTCACTCCATTCTGGCCCTGTTGCACAAGTACATATTCAGTTTATAAAAGGAAATGAAAGAAATTTAGGACTGAACTGCCACAGTCCAAAACACACCAACAGTGGCATTTTTGTTACTGTATGGAAATAAAGATGGGGCAGGGTAAGAAGTGGACAGACCATGCCAGGAGACTCCAGAGCCTTGAAATTTCAGGAAGCTGGAGCACAGAATGAGGACTTTGCGGAATTTCAAGGCAGTGGCAGGCACAGGGTCATTCCTTCCAATAATTTTATGGCCCACTAGATCATGGTTCCTTATAGGGTGGGCATGCTTAGACATAGTGATTACTAATGCTTATGTATTGAAATATTCAGCACTGTGTTGGTGCAGTATACCCTGCCTTTAATTTGGGTGAATGACTTCCCTTCCTCCTGCCACTCCCTAGCTGGTATCATTCTTACACACTGGGTGCAACAACACCTGCACTTTACTGTATATTAGACTAATTTAACGCATAGTAAAGTATCACCACCTACACGTGCATAGCAATTACTGCACAGTAGATTAATTTGAAGCACCATTTGCTAGTACCAACAGATACATGTACTAAAAAACCATGCGTTAATTGGCCAAAGTGCAAGTGTAGACACATGCTCCTAGTCAGCCCAAGCAGCAGGGGGGCATAATTTCTTCCTGGCTAACCCTGAGCTCCATGTAGCTGCTTGGGAGCTGTTCCCAGTGCTAGGGACAGCTCTTCCCCACCTCCTGGAGCTTAGGGCTAACCCTTCATGCCCTCTCCCAGCCCAGGGCTGCCCTTGGACTCCCTGCTTGCCTGCAGCTGCCCCCAGTGTCCCTTGCCAGCCTGGACCTGGCACCTGGGGGAGCCTGGCTTCTGCAGAGAGCAGAGCAGGGCAGAAGCATCCCTGGGTTCAATTTGCTTCTGATCTAGGTGCACATATAGGTCAGTACCTATATGTACAGGGACGCAGTAAATTCAAGCTTATTAATTGCAGGTGTTGATGTGCCCACAGAGTTCTTTACTCAGGAATAAGATTTTTATCTTTCATACTGGTGAAGGGTGGACCTGACATCGACACACACAATATAGTTGAGCTGACAGTATAAGCTCCCCACCTTGGCCTGAACATGCTTCTTCCAGACATGTAATGTCCTCTTGGAGCAAGGAAGGAAGTTCATTCTCCACAGCTCCATTTTGGGGTTTTTCCTTCTTCAGGGATTATTAACAATGGCACCATCTGTGCTTATGCAACATGGCTTCCTCATATTCTGTTCCCACCCCTCAGATACAAGATTTTGAATGCAAGTGCTATCCCAGAGGGGCAGTTCATTGACAGCAAGAAAGCTTCTGAAAAGTTGCTTGGATCCATTGATGTTGACCACACCCAGTATAAATTTGGGCACACCAAGGTACAAAGATTGTTTTGTTGTAATATGGTTTTATTCATGTTTACAACAGACTGAAAGTGACGTTCTGTAACATTCTGCTTCTCCAGGTGTTCTTCAAAGCTGGACTGTTGGGTCTTCTAGAGGAGATGAGAGATGAAAAGCTAGCACAACTTATTACTCGCACACAAGCTGTATGTCGTGGCTACTTGATGAGAACAGAGTTCAAGAAAATGATGGAAAGGAGGTAATGATTTCTTGTATTTGTCCTGTACTCACCAAACAGAGGTGATATGAATAACACTGTAAGATGGACTTCCTGGCACTCCATCTCACTAAGATTTCCTTAATCTCTTTTACTCACATTTGAGTATTTGTTAAGGTATGTTGAGGTAACTATTATGCCAAGGAGCATGAACGACTGGTGCCTCCCGGGACTGGGGGGACACAATTTATGCGCGGTAGCGTTGGCAGCGGGATGATGAGTGGCAACCACCTGCAGAAGCCAGTGGTGGTGGGAAGGGGAGGGTTGCAAGTGGCGAGCAGCGAGTGGCAATCAGCAACTACCTACAGAAGCCAACAGCAGCAAGCAGTGATCGGCGACTACCCACAGAAGCTGGCACCAGTGGCGAGAGGCAACTGCCTGCAGAAGCTGGCGGTGACAGTGGAGGGGGTTGTGGCAAACAGCGTCCACCCGCAGAAGCTGGCGGTGGTAGCAGCAGTAGCGGCCAATCTCAGGGCAGGGAACATGCCCCCCTGTGCCCCCCCTACGCATCACCTATGCCAAAGATCTAAGGAAAAGAGCTACATCAGGGCTGGCAAACAAATTTACATCTTATTTTGCATCCTTTTTCCCTAAATTCTGTGTTTGGCTTCTTAGTAGGTGACTTCACCTTAGATCACTAGGCTGTCAGTCTGTTCCAGGGACAGTGTACATTCTGTAATGGTATATGGACTTGAGTCTATAGAAAGTTCACATTAGTTCCACATGTACAACACAAAGGCTGAAAGTAGATTTGGATTCCTCCTAGATTTTCTTAGACTTAAGTCAGCCCAGATTATGTGACCCTTCGGATAGTGCTTACTTTGTGAGTCTTCCCACTTGAACTAAGTGGGTGCATCCAGACAAGAGCACAAGTCCAGTTTGTGGCACCGTACACCCATCTGAAGCACCACAAACCACACATGCTGCATATGCATTTGCAGCATGTTGAGCCAGGGTGGAGCAGCCCTGGGCTGGCAAGTGAAGACACTGTTCCCAAGAGCAATAAACTGCAGCATGAGGTACACCAGAATTTATTCAGGTATGCTAATTGCATGTGTAGATGTGCCCAGTGAGACTGGCTGGGTGAGTAAATGCTACTCACAAGTCATTAGTAAAGACTATAGAATTGAGAATTTGAATTCACTTCTGATGTTAGCCCATACGATTTGATACATATTTTAATTACATTTCAGGGAATCCATATTCTGTATTCAATACAATGTTCGTGCATTCATGAACGTCAAGCACTGGCCCTGGATGAAGCTGTACTTCAAGATCAAACCCTTGCTGAAGAGTGCTGAGTCTGAGAAGGAGATGGCCAACATGAAGGAAGAGTTTGAGAAAACAAAGGAAGAGCTTGCTAAATCTGAGGCGAAAAAGAAGGAACTAGAGGAGAAAATGGTGTCTTTGATGCAAGAGAAAAATGACCTGCAGCTCCAAGTGCAGTCTGTGAGTATTAGCAGGGTATTACCCTTCTATAGAGTAAATGTAAACTAAAAGATCAAAATGTACATTCCAGTTAAGATATGGGAAAACTGGAGATATTATTTGTCTGAGACAAAATAGTCTGAGATCAAATGAGTTGAATGGATAAAGTCTGTCCTCCTTAGAATTAGTATTGTACCTATATTTATTGTCTAAGATAATGACAGGTAAAGACCCAGTAAGAAAGCTCTGTATAAATTAAATCCAGAGCTGGAAGCAGTTTATTACTTCCACACATTGCCACACCAGTTCTGGAGGTAGCCCATGCAGAGTTGGCTCCATATGCCTCAGTATAATGTTGCCTTGCTATGTAAATACATACCTTTGGACTATCTGAAAAAAATCAGTCAGTTGTGACTAAAGAGGTACTATGCTGATCTATTTTCAAACACTTATTTGCAATCACAAGGCCTACATGATTTCTTTTCCTTATTGGACATGGCTTTATAGTAGAGGCCAGAGGCATGGGTATCTGGTACCTATGCTTTAATATGGCTCTGTTACAAAACTGTGAAAACACTGGCCCTTAGGGGAAAAAAAAGAGTAGAGCATGAACTATGGGCTCTACTAAAAATGGTTAAGGAAAGTAATTCAGTGAATGCTCAGCAGATAATTTTGCAGTGGCTACAACTGTGGTGGACAAGCAGGGGGTACTCCTGTGCTAAGCCACCCACCTCACTGTGCCCAACCACATACCAGGCTCTGAGTGCCTTCCCAGGATGCCTTACGTCCAGCCGACCCCTTCCCAGGGCACACCTGTGAGCCTGGGGTCACCACCGCCATCACCCAGGAGTCTCGGTCTGTCTATGGTCCTGTACCACCTGGGATACACAGGCCTTGTAGACCTTGAGGGTGCTCTACCCACTGCAAGAACTTGGGGTGCTTCCCCTGGCCTGGAGCACAAATAGTAGCTGCCCTTAGTCAGCCAAACCAAGGGGACACAAAGGCATGCCTCTGATCCCCCTCCCAATGAATCTACCGCACTAGGTACAGTGGAGAACTTTATTGGTTACAGAGAGGAGTCTTGGGGGAAGATTCAGGATAGGGAGGAATCACAGAATAACCTTAGAACAAACAGTGTGGCTAGGCAGCCGTTGATTAAGCATCTGCTGTAGTGCTAGCTATATATCTAGGTAGGTTTCAAGTAGTTTACTCACAAGTATCATCCAGAGGCTGTTTGAGATTTCCTCTGGAGGCAGCCAGTTCAATGTGTCGTTTCCAGGGAAAGAGAGGGAGAGAACCCCCTCTCTCTGTCTGGTCAGTTGCTCCCATGCTGTCCAAAATGGCTCTCTCCCCGTCCTGGGCAGTCTGGGCTTATATAGCCCTCTTGATTCACCATCCTGAACCAGTCCTGGCCAAATGTTGTTGGATGCTAACAAATCAATTTGAAATGCATCACTGGTTACTTGGAAGAGTGACAGGAGCTCCTGCCCCCATGTCATGAGGTCACTGTTAACACAATAGAGAGGAGGAGTTCCCACCCCTGGTTACCTGTAGCATCTCATGACCACAGGAACAGGTTCCACGTCCCTCAGGAATGTTTCCAGCCCAGGTCACAACTTGGTGTTAAATGAAACAGATGGGGGGAGGGCTGCTTGCCCACCGCAGTGACCATGGCAACCAAATTCACAGACAGGTGATTAAACAGTGGCAAGGGAAAACCTGATAGCAGAGTTTGGGAAGATACTGAAATGGCATTTTGCCATAATAACTACTCCATTTTCTTTAGCCGGGAACTTCAGTTCTACCGTTGAATATTCAGTTGCAGCTTTGGGTAGATGCCAAAGGATCAGTCTGCACCAATCTCCACTGACCTCACTGCCATTCTATGTGGTTGCAGAGTCCACTGATGAGACTGACTGAAGTCATTCAGCTCCCTGCCAGTAGATCTATCTCTAGTTTGTTCATCAAATTAGCCTGATATTTGAATCACATTAGCACTGAAAAGGTTCCCCCAAACCAGGAGCTACTGAGGGATGTTCATTTGTGGTCTGATATTTGAAGATATTTAAAAAAAAAAAAATCTGTTTTGCGTTGAAGATGGGAAAATTTCAGACTAAATGATGCCTTGCAGTCAAAATTAAAAATACGTGATATCATGAGCTTAGAATGGGTATTTCATTGCAATCCTAATTACAAAAGAACTATTTCATGCTATAAAAGATGAAGCAAAAATAATTATGAGAAAAACAGCAATAAAATAGAATTTTACAAAACAACCTATTAATATTTCCACCACAGGAGGCCGATGGCTTGGCTGATGCTGAGGAGAGATGTGACCAGCTAATCAAAACCAAAATCCAGCTTGAAGCTAAAATTAAAGAGGTGACTGAAAGAGCAGAGGACGAAGAAGAAATTAATGCTGAGCTGACAGCCAAGAAGAGGAAACTGGAGGATGAATGTTCAGAGCTGAAGAAAGACATTGATGACCTTGAGTTAACCTTGGCCAAGGTGGAAAAGGAAAAACATGCCACAGAAAACAAGGTATAAGCCAGAATCTGTAAAAAACAAAACAAAACAAAACAAAACCCCTCAAACAAACAAAAAACAACAACAACAAATTCCACACAAGTATGCTGCCATTTTACACACACAGAGCACGTCTACACAAGACACTACTGCACAATAGCGATAAGCTACTGCACTGTAGCTCATGGCTACAGCGCAGTATCTTTGGTGGACACTAACCATTAGTAATGAGTTACTGTGCAGTAGCTCGTGCAAGCTCAGTAGCATCTAAAAAAAACCATGAAGGGACGGTACTGCGCAGTAACACCGGTTACTGTGCACTTGTGTAGTACTTACGTATGCAACTTCTAAATGACTCCACAGTAACACCTGTTGGGTCCACTGCTCATGTAGATATAGCCGCAGATGTGTGTTTTGTTGTTGCTTTGGCCTCTTATAACAACATGTGTTGCCTTCTGAAAGGTGAAAAACCTCACTGAGGAGATGGCAGTCCTGGATGAGAGCATTGCCAAGCTGACAAAAGAAAAGAAAGCCCTCCAAGAGGCCCATCAGCAGACTCTGGATGACCTGCAGGCAGAAGAGGACAAAGTGAACACATTGACCAAAGCTAAAACAAAACTGGAGCAGCAAGTGGATGATGTAAGCACAGCAAAATATGGGGCAAGGAAACAGGCAAGAAGTTGGCTGCCGAGTGGCAGGGCTCTGACAGCCTTTTTCTCTTTAGCTTGAGGGGTCCCTGGAGCAGGAGAAGAAACTTCGCATGGACCTGGAAAGAGCAAAGAGGAAACTTGAAGGAGACTTGAAGCTGGCCCAGGAATCCACAATGGATTTAGAAAATGATAAGCAGCAGCTGGATGAAAAGCTGAAAAAGTAAGTCTGGTTTCTGGGGAGCATCCTTCTGTTTGGGCAGGGACGCATGCAGTTTGTTTGGGCCCTAACATGTTCTGCTTTGTGAAAAGGAAAGACTTTGAAATCAGTCAGCTCCAAAGCAAAATTGAGGATGAGCAAGCCCTGGGCATCCAGCTGCAGAAGAAGATCAAGGAGCTCCAGGCAAGTCATAATTTGCCTTGCTTCTGGCTGTGCGGAGGAGTTCAGGTAAGAGGAGGCATTGGTTTCAGTGTGTCCTATTGCTTTCCAGGCCCGTATAGAGGAGCTGGAGGAGGAAATAGAATCAGAACGAGCCTCTCGGGCAAAAGCAGAGAAGCAGCGGGCTGATCTCTCCAGGGAACTTGAGGAGATCAGCGAGCGCCTGGAAGAAGCTGGTGGGGCAACAGCAGCTCAGATTGAGATGAACAAGAAGCGCGAGGCAGAATTCCAGAAGATGCGCCGAGACCTTGAAGAGGCTACTCTGCAGCATGAAGCGACAGCCTCTGCCCTCCGGAAGAAGCATGCTGACAGCACAGCCGAGCTCGGGGAGCAAATTGACAACCTGCAACGGGTCAAGCAGAAGCTGGAGAAGGAGAAGAGTGAGCTGAAGATGGAGATTGATGACCTGGCTAGCAACATGGAGACTGTTTCCAAAGCCAAGGTATGGGACCAACTTTTGATAACATTGGCTTGAACTTAAGTGCCATTTCACCTTCAAAACAATATTTTGATTAACATTTAATCATGTTCAACTATACAAAGCAGGATATATGCTGGTTGAAAGTATTAAATATTTTTATTAGACTGATTTTAGTTTAACCTGAATAAAGCATACACAGTTTAATGACCTGTATTGATATCTAAACCCTGAAGACATGTGATAAAGGAGCTTATGGTTTTGAATACATTTATTACCAGATTAACAGCCATTACTCTTCAAGGGTAGTAAAGATGACCCCTATACTGGATGGTGACTTAAATGTTAATTTTGGTACTAACATTAAACCTCATTAATATTTATTTGGTAACATATTGGCACAAGTGCACAAAACAAGTAGCTATTGCAGAATATCAGTAGCCTATGTTCCTGCAACCTTAAACCTACCTGGTCCTGCATACCTTTTATTTTCTTGACTTTGGAAACTAATAAGCTTGCCAAGAGTAGTGAGGAGAGTTCCCTCTATCATGTGAGGTTGTATCAAGTTTAATGCATACATTCAAAGCCAGAGGCCTCCGAGTTTCAGTATTAGTTAGTATACATTAGAAGGACATATTTTTAAACTTATTGTTACTGAATATTAAACTAAATAAATCACAAGTTATTAAGAGAGAACTTGCAGACTTCCAAAAGATGGATCATTCCAAAATTTTATTTCCATCTTCCAGCAGCTCGTTACGTCTTGTTCTTTTTTCCCTTCTTCAGACCTTGTGACTTGTTAAATCACAGATGAGAACCTATTGTAGACATGGGTTAGTAATTAAAGATTCTACATCTCAGTTCAGTTTATTTTTTCTTCAAGTTCATCAACTTAGTGATCATATCATTTTAATGATTTGTAATAATACTTTATCATATCCTTTTATGACCAAGTGACCTATCACCTGGACAAGGGAGAAGAGATTGTTATATATCTTGATTTCAAAAAAGCCTTCGATCTGGTATCCCATGATCACCGCTTGGTGAAAATGGCCGATTGTGGCCTTGGGTCCACCATGATCCACTGGCTGGGAAATTGGCTCCGTGGTCGGACCCAGAGGGTGGTAACTGACAGAAATCAATCGTCATGATGTCCTGTGACCAGTGGGGTCCCCCAAGGCTCTGTCCTTGGACCCATACTGTTCAACATCTTCATTAATGATGTGGACATTGGAGTCAGAAGCGGACTGGCCAAGTTCGTGGATGACACCAAACTTTGGGGCAAAGCATCCACACCTGAAGACAGGAGGGCTATCTTGGCTGACCTTGACAGGCTAAGCAAATGGGTGGATGAGAACCTGATGGTGTTTAACACTGAAAAATGCAAGGTTCTCCACCTTGGGAGGAAAAACCTTCAGCATCCTTATAAGCTCGGCAGTGCTACACTGGCTAGTACTACAAAAGAAAGAGACTTGGGGGTCATCATTGACCACAAGATGAACATGAACCTGCAATGTGATGCTGTGGCTAGTGAAGCGACCAAAATGCTGGCTTGCATCCATGGATGCTTCTCAAGCAAATCCCGGGACATCATTCTCCCCTTGTACTCGGCCTTGGTGAGGCCGCAGATTGAGTACTGCGTCCAGTTTTGGGCCCCACAATTCAAAAAGGTTGTGGAGAAGCTTGAGAGAGTCCAGAGAAGAGCCACACGCATGATCAGAGGTCAGGAAAACAGACCTTACGACGATAGGCTGAGATCCATGAGGCTCTTTAGCCTGGAAAAGCTCAGGCTCAGGGGTGATCTGATGGCCACCTATAAGTTTATCAGGGGTATCCACCAGTATCTGGGGGAACATTTGTTCAGCAGAGCGCCTCAAGGGATGATGAGGTCTAATGTTTATAAACTACTGCAAAACCGTTTCAGGCTGGACATAAGGAAGAATTTCTTTACTGTCCAAGCCCCCAAGTTCTGGAATAGTCTGCCAGGAGGTGGTTCAATCATCTACATTGAACACCTTCAAGAGTAAATTGGATGCTTATCTTGCTGTGATCCTATGACCCCAGCTGACTTCCTGCCCTTCGGGTGGGGTGCTGAACTCAATGATCTTCCAAGGTCCCTTCCAGCCCAAATGTCTATGAAATCTATCTATATACCAGTAAAAACACTGGAATATAGCTTCAATAAATCATGTAATCTTAATTATATAAGACTGCATAACTGTCATCACTTTTCACAATATAGCCCATGGAAACAATAGCTTCACAGAACCTCTGAGATCTCAGAATGAAGTTCTTAGAGGATTATAGAGACAAGGCATCAAATCATATTTCACCTTTAGGCATCTGAGTGGTAATTGTTGCCCCAGGTTTCCTTTTACCAGAGACCCCCAAGGATTGACATGGCCCCTCATCTGATTTGGTGTCAAATGAACTTTATTAGTAACCCCTAAACTTATTACAAGATTATTATCTTTGCAATACAACCTGGCAAGCAGTTCCTTTGACATTACAGCAGCGACCTTTGGTGGTACCAGCCTGAGATCCTCTGCTAGGTGTGTGAGATGTTAGTTTCTGGATCCTTGTTACTCAAAGCAAGAATTCCAAAGCTGCTCCTGTCTCCCGAGGGTGGCAACACAAACGCACACTGTCTCTTTGTTTGTCCACTTGTTTTGTAACTTTCTCATCTCAAACTGTCCAGTCCTCAAGTTTCTTACCTCATCTTTTTCGATAAGGTACTCCAATACTATTCCATTTTTGGTTTTCTTTCCTTTTAGGGAAACTACTGTACCTGGTTAGCCCACCGTACCAATCACAGTGCTCATTTTTTCCAGCGCCTAAGAGGGACTTTGTACAATTTAATTGCTTAGATCCAGGAAGGTCTAAAGTTATGCTAAGAGCCTGAGTATAACTCAGTTTGCCCATTATAGTAATTAGCCATCTAAAAGTAGATATCTAAATGGCACTTAGGGCAATATATAAGGATTTTAGACCTTCTTTTCAAAAGTATGACTGAACTTCTAATCAAGTCCAGAAAGGATCTCCTATGTCCACTTAAGTTCTGCTGCAGTCTTAAGTCCTTAGAACTGGATACAGAGAAGAACCATGACTGGCAACTGTTTGATACAGAACAGTTCACTCTCTCATTTTAGCCCCAAAGCAAAAAGGTTACAGCATTAGCCCAGGAAGTAGAAAACTTCTTCATCCTGAGTGCATTTGACTGCATATCTCCAATTTTCTAATAAAGTGCACTACTTAATGGGCAATGGGCGAAGCAAGGGCAAGAGCATCCATTATCAATCTGGTTGAATCTAGCCCACTGGGCAACCAGGAAGGGAGGTATGTGGAACAGGAAGATAAAACCACCCAGGAGCATGGTTTTAAGTCTCAATGAGAACAGAAAAACTTTGGAAAAGTGTGTGTCCTGGGTTATTGCCCTTAGTCACAGTCCTAACATTACCTATACTTTTATCCACCTATGAATTAATGCAAAATGCAGAAAAAGTATAACAGAGTTCCTCTGATCAAAATACAGATGTTCATCCACTTTCTTTTGATCCATGTTATATACAGGGAAATCTTGAGAAGATGTGCCGCACTCTGGAGGACCAGCTTAGTGAGATTAAGACAAAGGAGGAGGAGCACCAACGAACAATTAATGACCTCAGTGCTCAAAGAGCTCGTTTACAGACAGAATCAGGTAAGACACTTCTCTGAAGTAGAAATATGAGTACATGCAGAAGAAATTGTTCAAGGAGCAGGAAATGGCCCTTCTATGAAAAACAGCCTACTCACCATGCTGCTTAAAACCTATTATTAGCCCTACAGTGCTGTAGCATCATAATCTTCTAGAGGTTCCTTTACTGCTTAGCAGAGGCATAGCACGGCAGGTCCACAACTCTGGGGAGCAACAGCACAGGACTGTGATGCTAGGGGTAGAAGAATGTAGAGATGCCAACTAAAGCATCAACTAGCTTTAGAACTGCCCCATTCATCTCCCTCTTCCCCCCCCTCCTCCCACCAGTTACACTGCTGCTTTTTTAAAAATTTGTAAATTTTCATGTAATGAATAGTTATTTATAGTTCAATACAGCTACATGATATCCCTACTGTCGCTTGTCATTTTCAGGTGAGTTTTCTCGCCAGGTGGAAGAAAAAGATGGTTTGATTTCACAGTTGTCAAGGGGCAAGCAAGCATTTACCCAACAGATTGAGGAACTGAAGAGGCAACTAGAGGAGGAGATAAAGGTGAGGACTTTATCAGGATCTGATACCCCTTCTGCTGGGATAGCATTCCACAGCCTGGTAGATCTCCCTCCCAGGTCATTTCCCAAGATATTTAGTTACTATAGTAAGCCTGTCATTTTTCCAGGCCAAGAATGCACTGGCCCATGCCTTGCAGTCTGCTCGCCATGACTGTGACTTGCTGCGAGAACAATTTGAAGAGGAGCAGGAAGCCAAGGGCGAACTGCAACGTGCCCTGTCCAAAGCCAACAGTGAAGTTGCTCAGTGGAGAACCAAATATGAAACTGATGCTATTCAGCGGACAGAGGAGCTGGAAGAAGCTAAGTATGTGCTAAGAGAAGGTTCAGGATGCCCTTTTGGGAGACTTTCAGTGATGTGGGTTAGAAAGTGGCAAACTTGTGCCATAAGGTTCAAAAGACTAAGCAAGCCATGTCCAGCACACACACTGAGGGTAGAAGAGTCCATGGACTGCAGTGTGTATGCACTGGGGTCTTAAACCCCAAGGGCTAGAGACAGACATTACACATAAACCAGTTTAAGTGATCAGAAACTGGTTTAAACCTGTAACAGAATAGATGTTCAGTGCACATAAACCAGTTTGAAAATGGCTGAAACTGGTTTGAGATAAACCTGGTTGAATGTTGTAATTGATTTAACTGATTTGAGTCAAACCAGTTTATGCAATGTCTGTCTCAGACCCCTTGCTGGTTTAAGTTAAACCAGAAATCCCCAGCACCCTGGCATTCTCTCTGGGCTGTGTGGGACTCTCCACTCCATAGCAGAGCTGTCCCCTCCCCTTTGCTCCCTGGCTGCAGCTCTGGCAGAGACTTGCAGGCTGCTCCCCCAACCCCCACTCCCTCCCCTCTGCCTTGCTGATATGTATCTGTGTATTAGATAGCAAACTACATGCTGGCTCCCTTTGGTCCATGCTGCGACAGGCAGAATCAACAGGTATCTGGTAATGTCCCCCTGTTTTCTTAATGGGGTAATAAACAGTGAGTTAGGGGTGATAAGCACTGTTATCAATTCCCTACTGGGCTAATCAGAGTTTCATGCCAGGGCCTGGCCATACAATCCCCCCATCCTGCCTCAGCTCAGTACTGTAGAAAGGAAGGGAGGGCACCTCTAGTGCACCCCAGCTTCTAGTCTGAGTCACTGCAGGCATGTGCCTGCATTTATGGAATGAAAAGTGAATGTCTATCCACCTCCAAATCAGCTCAAGCTTTGCAGGTTAAACTAACCTGCAAACATTGAATCAATTAGGCTCAGGCTTTTTGAAAGTCTGTCCCTAGCCAAGGTGGCTAAGTTGCTCTGGTGAATCCCAGAGCAGCTGCATACAATTCAATTCCCATGTGACTTTCCTAACATGGCTGTGTTTGCTGTCTTTCAGGAAGAAGCTTGCTCAACGTCTGCAGGATGCCGAGGAGCACGTAGAAGCTGTGAACTCCAAATGTGCTTCCCTTGAAAAGACAAAGCAGAGGCTCCAGAATGAAGTGGAGGACCTCATGATTGATGTGGAAAGATCAAATGCTGCCTGTGCAGCACTAGATAAGAAACAAAAGAATTTTGATAAGGTACTTTAGGCTAAAGCTTCTAGGTGATAGATACTACATCCTCCAGAGAGCTCCACTTTTACTGAACAGGGTCTTCTTCTTCTCCAGATTCTGGCAGAATGGAAGCAGAAATATGAGGAAGCTCAGGCTGAACTGGAAGCCTCTCTGAAGGAGTCTCGCTCTCTCAGCACTGAACTTTTTAAAGTGAAGAATGCTTATGAGGAGTCTTTGGACCATCTTGAAACCCTGAAGCGTGAGAACAAGAACTTGCAACGTAAGTCCCCTGATCCCTTTGTCTAATAAGGGCCTTATGGGAAGCTCGTGTACCCACTAGGTCCAGTCTATCTATGTCTGTAATACTGCTAACTGCCAATTCCCTTGGAAAGTGCCTTCCTCCACTTGTCCTTTGTCTGACTGAGTACTTTGTCTATAACCCAACAGAGGAGATTTCTGACCTGACGGAGCAAATTGCAGAGGGAGGGAAGGCCATCCATGAGCTGGAGAAAGTGAAGAAGCAGATTGAGCAAGAGAAATCTGAAATCCAGGCTGCTCTGGAAGAAGCAGAGGTATGCACCATGTTTTATTGTCTTTGAACTGTAAGCTCTTATGGGAATAATTCAAAGGAACATGAGGAAAATTGTGTTTTGATGACAGTGCAATGAGGGAATATGAGAGAGAACATTTCTCTCATATGGGTGTGATGGAGACTTGGTCTTCAAGGAACACTGAGTGAAATATTTCTGAATCAGAGTATTCAGTAGATAATATTTTTCTTCTCCTATTAATGCTTCATTTGATCTTGGTAAGGCCTCACTAGAACATGAAGAGGGGAAAATCCTTCGCATCCAACTTGAGCTAAACCAAGTGAAGTCTGATATTGACCGGAGGATTTCTGAAAAAGATGAAGAAATTGATCAGCTCAAAAGAAACCACCTCAGAGTTGTTGAGTCCATGCAGAGTACCCTGGATGCTGAGGTCCGGAGCAGAAATGATGCTCTAAGGCTGAAAAAGAAGATGGAGGGGGATCTGAATGAAATAGAGATCCAGCTGAGCCATTCCAATCGCCAGGCTGCAGAAGCACAAAAGAGTCTGAGAAATGCACAAGGAGCACTCAAGGTTTGCTAAACCAAACATATGCATATTTATATGGATGAGCTAATAGTTTGACAGCTCCAGGAGTACTGTAATGCTAAATAATTTCTTTCATTCATTTTGTAGGATACGCAGCTGCACTTGGATGATGCTCTTAGAACCCAAGAAGATCTAAAAGAGCAGGTTGCTGTTGTTGAGCGCAGAGCTAACCTGATGCAGGCTGAAATTGAGGAGCTACGGGCAGCCCTGGAACAGACAGAGAGGGGAAGAAAAGTGGCTGAACAAGAGCTTTTGGATGCAAGTGAACGTGTGCAGCTCCTACACACCCAGGTCAGAATCGAGTTTGAAAACATGCCAGAAAAAAATTATGCAAGGGACTGCTATATATAGATCCTTCTCCAAAGAGGACTAATTGGGGTTTTAAGAAAAGAATTATCACCTTTGCTGAAATGGCTTTTGTCCTTACATTGCCTAGAATGAGTCAATGATGAATAGAAAACAAAGAACTGAACACTCATCCTTGGTGTTCCTAATGCTGCTGCGCTGAAACCTGTATATAGGTAATTAACATGCATGTCAATAATATTGCAATCATAATATGGAGAAGAATCTCAATGGATCCCGTGTAGCCTTTTTCAAATACCATATTTTCTCACGTTCACATGCACCTTTTTACCCAAAATCAGCTCCCAAAAATTGGGGTGTGTATTTTAAACAGGAAAGTTGTTTTCGTCTGTAGAAAAGGAGCACTTCTGGAGTTCGTGCCACAAAACTGCAAGGATTTCTGCCTTTTATGCCTGGAAATCGAAAGACCAGACCCTTGTGTTAACCATCGAATAACCATAGCTACTGACTGAGCACTGTAGCTTGGGCCTGAAGAAGCAAGTGAGCTGGTGGTAGCATAGGCAATGAATGGGGTGGGCACAGGGGGGCATGTGCTCTTCCAGATTTCTGCATTGATGGCAAGGTACAAGGTTGCAGCCACAGTTCAAATTACACTCTGACTCTTGAAGTTGTCTTCAGCAGTGGCAGCCAGAAGGAGCCACCGCTGCTACCACCACTGCTGCCTGTGCTGCTTAGTCTCTTATGGGGGGGCTCTTGTTTCTTATGGGGGGGCTCAGCCCCCTCGATCTCCCCTGTAATTTGAATCATGGCTGCATCCCAGCCAGAGCCAGTGCCTGGCAGCTGCAGCAGTGGTGGTGGTGGCAGCGTGGAGTTGTGCCCTCCCCCCACCGCCCCCCATCTTTACACTTACCCATCATTTATGGCTGATAGTATCTTGCTGAGGCTTGTGATGTGGAAACAAAACTTAATTTATAGGAACTTATCTAAAGTACTACTTACAGTAAGAGCTAACAAACAGTCTTGCTACTGCCCTTTGCACAGGTCTGGGGCATAACCTTTTGTGACAGAGTAAGTCCTTCTGGAAACATAGAAAGTCCAAAAAGTGTGCCATTGCAGGAGACAGTTTGCCACACCAGGACATTCCTGATGCAACACTTTCTATATATTCTATGTTCCCAGGAGGACTTACTCTATATCACAGTCATCTATGACTCCAGAAAAAATCTTTTTTTTCCTACATTCTGCCTTCCAAAAACAAGGTGCATGTTTTATTTGGAGGTGTGTTATATGCAAGAAAATATAATATGCTAACTCGAGGTGCACCAATAAATTGGTGCACCTGTTGGGTCAGCACCAACATAAAAAAAAAAAAAATGACTATATCAGAAATCGACCTGATGTGGCCAATAATTTGGCCAATAAATGCCCGTGCATGTGTGCAGGAGCACAGTACATCAGTGTCGAGAGTTGTGTGCAGCTGATAAGCCTGTTAGGGTAAAAGGGGAGGGGGGAGGGAAGGGGCATGGGGGTGCAGATCAATGCCCCCCATGGTAACCACTGCATACCGCTTATCCAGGAGGGCATGGTGGGGGTGTGTGTGCCCCAGATCTGTGCAGGGCAGGCCAGGCAGGCTACAGCTGCATGCTGGGGTTGGGACCTGTGCTGTGCTGCAATTGGGGTGAGCGGTAGTGACCTGGGAGGGGATTACAGGGGGCTATGGCAAAATTTGGGGTGGCTGCAGGCCCCTGCCATAACCCTCCTCCCAGCATCACCACCACCCACCCCAAGCACAGCTCTGCAGCCTGGCTGCCCTGCCCAATGAAGATCCAGGGGCACCCCTCTCCCCCATGCTCTCCTGGACGAGCAGTGGGAGCTGCGACTCCCACGGCTCCATCCTGCTTCCTGCCCTGCCCTGCCCTGGCTGGGCAGTGCCTATCCCAGCCCCAGGCTCATTCTTTCTCTCACCATGGGGGGCATTGACCTGCTTCCCCACACCCCTTCCCTCCCCCCTCCCCTTTCACCACAACAGACTTACCAGCTGCAGTCAGCTGTATTGGAAATCGGATCGGTATTGCCCGATACATCTCCTTAAAAACTGGCTATCAGTATCGGCCCCCAAAATCTCTATCAATGCACCCCTAATCCTAACCAGTCTGAATGGAAAGTTTGTGTTTCCTGCCTCTGACCCTGCATCTAACATACTTACTACCACTAGACAGTATTAAACGTTCCCTGGCAAACCGGACTTTTCTCAGATCCAGAAAGCATCACTAAAGAGGAATGACTTGCTTTTAAAGACCAGATGGCACCAAATGGCGTGTGCTACCAAAACATTTGCATTAAGTTATTAATCACGTGATGACTTTGAATATGTTTGTCCAGATGTGCCCTTTTATAATGACATATAATAAATACCAGACAATGCTATATTGTCAGTACCTTGGTGTATATTTAAGAAATGGGTGTAAGGTGCATTCTAGGCTTGCTTGCCCAGTGCTGATAACTGCTTACCTGCTTAAGATAGTAAGATATCTATTAATTTAAAGAAAATGCTATCCCCTTTCTTTCCCTTTCCTTATTATGAGCACATACAGCATTGGTACAAAACATTGTCAGTCTATGGAAATGTACATAGAATTTTTTTCTAAAAATATTTGCAGCTTTTCACTGATAAGCTGTCAACATCCTGCAGTGACAATTTATTTAGCAGAGAATGCTATTACAGACAATGCTATTATACAAAGTTAATGGAAATCTCTAAATTAAAGACTAATATTCACTTCATTCTCTAGATTTGATACACTTGGTCTGACAATAAAAGATATAATTTTATTTTTGTTAAACAGAACACCAGCCTGATCAACACCAAGAAGAAGCTGGAAACAGACATTTCACAAATACAGAGTGAAGTGGAAGAGACAATCCAGGAAGCACGCAATGCAGAAGAGAAAGCCAAGAAGGCAATCACTGATGTGAGTTGGAGATATCTGTCCTTGAAGATCAGGGCTCTGTTTCTGCCTGTAATGCATGATTCTTTGGATTGATTTTGTTCCCTTGCTCACTAGGCAGCCATGATGGCTGAGGAGCTGAAGAAGGAGCAGGACACAAGTGCCCACCTGGAGAGGATGAAGAAGAACCTGGAGCAGACAGTGAAGGACCTGCAGCACCGTCTGGATGAGGCTGAGCAGCTGGCTCTGAAGGGTGGCAAGAAACAACTCCAGAAACTGGAGGCCAGAGTGTGTACTCTGAAAATGTGTAAATATATAATAAGCATGTCCAGTGTTCGGTCATAGGTGAAGTGCTAATAAGGCATTTTCTCATTGCAGGTACGTGAGCTGGAAGCAGAGGTTGAGAATGAGCAGAAACGCGGTGCTGATGCTATTAAGGGTGTGCGTAAATATGAGAGGAGAGTAAAGGAACTGACCTACCAGGTAAAAAAGGAGTCTTTGCTCATGTATATGTCTCACAGCAGGTCAGATTACACATGAACCTGCAAGGGAAGGATTTTTTGTTGTCGTTCTTAAGCAGTAAAGCAGTCAGCAGCAATTCCATGGGAAAACAAGAGTGTACCAGGAAGGGGTTTGAAAGACAGTGTTAGAAATGTTGAGTTGATTACATCCAGGTTTTATGCTTATATTTTATAATAAACATTCCTTTCATTGCTCAATAGGCATGAAACAGGAAGGTAATGGGCAAATGAACTGACTCTGTTCCAAATCATATTCTTTCTAGTCTGAGGAGGACCGGAAGAATGTGCTCAGGCTCCAGGATCTAGTTGACAAACTTCAGATGAAAGTGAAGTCTTACAAGAGACAAGCTGAGGAGGCTGTAAGTGTCACTTTGTGTTTGGACAAGCTCATCTTCTGCTGGAGCAGAAGTTCTGCTCTGCTGATATTGTGTATGTCTCTTCACCTGCCTGTTTATCTAGTTAAGCCTTCTGAAGTTTTGGTGTCATCTGTTTTATACAAAATCTCAAGTAAGCATAACATGAGTTTTTACTGGATATCCTAACATCCATTGTGGACAAATGGGAAGGTTCAGACCACAAATGCTGGAGGACAGCTATGTGCCTGTCTCCAAAAAACTCTAGTGCCAGCCTCAGGATAATTGGATTTGGGAGGGTGCAGTAAACAAAATGCACTCAGGAACCAGTAATTTAGGGTAATATCAGGCAATGTCACAACTTCAGAAGGGAACTGTGCTCCCCTGGAGGCAATAGCTTATTTATACTCCTTTTACATTCCATTGTGTGTAGGCAGTGCAACATAACATTCCAACCCCTGCCACAAACCTCTTCACTGTGCCATGCTGGTAAATTCTTTTCTAATATTAATCTCGGGGAGCATTTATGCTCCATCGGTTTTTCAGAGAAGTAAATACAACCCTTGGAATGATCCTTAACAGGCTGCACAGCTTAAGTTCTACTAAACTCATTAACCAAGCTCTTAATTACCTTGATTGCTAAAGGCTCCATTCCATATCTTATTCCACCCACATACAGGTACAACATCTGGATCCAGGTGTTTTAACTTAGTAAATATACCTTAATTAAAGTACCTTGAAGGTGTCCGTCATTTAGAAGATGTGAAGAAAAGGTTTGAAGAAATGTGCTTATAAAGTACTTAAAAAGAAAGAAACTGATTGGAAATTTCTATTTTGCATAGGGGATTGTGCAAGTTTTGAAATACCTTTTTTCATCGGTTTAGCAGATGGCACACTCTCTGGTAGAAACATTGGAAAAGTATTATTCACACTAGTGTCAGCAAAGATGGCCGACCTGATTTTGGTCATACTTTTAACAATATTTCCCTTTAAGATGAAAAAAGTCAGACTCAAAAAATTTGTAAAAGACACTTTTACAGCAATGGCAAAAGGGATTAGAACTGAATGAATCTGAACTGTAGTGCATACTTGTGTAGTAAAAACAGATAGTAAGAACTGTTAATTCCAATTTCATTAATTTAAACTCTTTATTTAAATCTGAGCTTTGCACCAGCGTTCATTGTTTATCAGAATGTTTTTGATTTCTTTAGGGGAAAAGTTCAGATTTATAGGCTAGTCCTTTATGTTGGTGGGTATATTTCAGTGCTAGACAGAAGTTCCCCATCCGTGTGACAGGTTTATAGGGATTCTGATAGAAAATAATTGATCTACCCATTTAATTCAGTTCGGTCTTTCTCCTCTCCTTGGTAAGATACTTCTCACTGGAAGGTATAACCTTATTCTTTTAGTACAAACCAGAAGTGCGCTCATTCTAATTGTACAATAACCAGAAGTGAACTCATTCTAATTGTATGCATGCTAATTTATTATAGCCTAACCTAAAACCCCTTGACACTATGGGGCTTTTTTATAGCACTCACCTGAAATGATCACCTTAAAAGACTCACAGGCCACATCTACACAAGACACTGAATGTGCAGTAGGCCGATACTACTGTGCAGTAGCATCATGTAGCAAAAACCATAGCACAACACTACTGCGCAGTAGCATCACTAAAAAGACGTTCATCACAATGCTACTGCCCAGTAACTTGAGTTACTGTGCATTCATTTAGTAGTTGTGTAGAAACTGATGAAAACAAGAAGGTTTATGCTTAGTTTTCTGATAAAAAAATGGTAAGTGGGTGTCAGAGAATCAAGACCTTCCCCTTCCCTTCAGCCATCACAGCCCCTCAAGTCAGAGTTGGACATGTCAGAGCTTTGGTTTTCACAGCTCTCTCTGTCCATCCACAGGAGGAGCTATCCAATGCCAACCTCTCCAAGTTTCGCAAGATCCAGCATGAGCTGGAAGAGGCTGAGGAGAGGGCTGACATGGCGGAGTCCCAGGTCAACAAACTTCGAGTGAAGACCCGGGAGGTTCAGAGCAAGAAGATTGACGGGGAGGAATAAGGATGCAGCACAGCTTCAGTAACAGACTGAAGAGATGAGCAAAATGTGAAACTCTGTCACTTTGTGTAATTATTGTTTGTGTTATCCTCAGTGTCTAGAAAATAAAGGATGTAGAGATCTTTGCATATAATGAGTGTGGTAGGTTTATTATTATTATTATTTATTATTATTATTATTATTATTATTCACTTACTTTGGGGTCTCACGGTTTGCATATGTCCATAATGAAATATACACTTTGGCAAACCTTTATCCCTATATTTTCAAAGCATTTGGACTGAAGTTGAAGTCATCTAATTTGATCCCTGATTTAATTCTTCTTCCCTGTTCTATAAGTTGTCAGCATTATAGTTTGTATTTTAGGAAAATATCAAATTTGTATTCAAAGACTTCCAAGCAGGAAGGTGATTCACATCCCTTGACAAATTGTTCCAAAGATTACTTATTTCCCCTCCACCCCCTCCTAAAAAGTTGTATCTTTATCTCCAGGTTGAATTTTCTATGTTGAACTTCCACTGGTCAGATATTGCTAAATTTAACACCTGATCTTGTGTTCAGACTTGGAGACTGTTGTGATCAAAGTCAGTCAGGAATGAAACATAATGTTTATATTCCTAAGTAGTAGTTGAAAAAGTTTCCTTTGGTGTACTACATACTTGACATGCAAAAGTCTTAGTCAGGTAGAGCTTCTCCAAGGAGTTCTGGATAGTAGCCAAGGGATCCTTTTAAAATGTTAACTGTTATGCAACAGGGTTATAGGTTGTAGCCATATTTGTCTAAGGACATTGGCAGACAAGGTTGGTCTAATAAAAGATATCAGATTTACCCAAATAACTTTGTCTGCCAACTGTTATGCAAAGGTGTTTTCAATGAAATAGGAACCTGGACTGTTTCACCCAAGTAGTTAGTAATTTGGACAGATGCACAGCTAGAAAATAACATCAATCCACCTGTACTCCCCCAGTGTAGCCAGTTTCACCTTGAAATGGCTTATAAATGTTATAATAAATTCAGTTAATGCTACAGGGGAAAGGTAAAAAAAAAACAAGGTATGATAGGTGAGCAGCCTTGTCTTCCAATGTCCTAAGACACCTGCTGACACCTAAGAATATTGTTTGTAAAATATCTGTAAAACTCTATCAAATCTGCATTGTAAATTTTACAACTCTTGTATCAATGACACACAAAATACAGGGCATGGACAATCAAGGACCTTCAATTCCATAAGTTCAAATTTCCATCATCTAGGGTACAGACAGAAATGCAGCTCCCAGCTGTAAATCAGAATGATTTTTGCAGTGTTCTGAGTTACAGCTTTACCCCAGACCAAACAGAAGTTCAGTGTTGGTTCCAGGAGGAGGGGAATCTAGCTGCAGGTTGGGAGCCTGCAGCCAGGTTCCCATAGCAATGGCCAGTACTCTCTGCCAGTGCTCCTGTTTTAAGAATGGAAAGGAGGAAAGGCAGTGGAGGGAGCTTGTTCTTGGGGCTCCCCAGCTGGTGCTGAAGGGTAGGCTGGGTGAATTGGAGATCCCCCACCTTGGGGGTGGAGTGGGGGCTCCAATACACCTGCCCCACTCTCCATGGGGGGCTGAAAACCCCCCAAACTGAACTCCCTCCACTCCTTTTCCTCCTCCCATTATGAAAACAATGACAGGCTGCGAGCTCCCCAGACACAAATTACAATAGAGGCTACATTTTTAAATGTCTTTATCTGATACCTCATGAGATGAGGGGTCAGACTTTGACCTGATGGGCCATTTTTTACGCAGTCTGCAGCCATGCACTAATGTTTGGTCACAGCTATAAACTGCTTTCTATGGCCAGATTGCCATAAAAATTGTTCCTTCTGTCTACACCCCTAGTGTGCACCAGACCAAGTCTGCATGTGCACAATTAACTTCTTAGTGTAAACATAAAATGAGGAAACAAAAACATTTGAGAACTGAGTTGAGCCCAGTATACTTTGCTGATACTGGACCAATACATGAATGTTTGAGAAGCGCCCACATATCTGGTATATATCTGTTCAGTCATATGATATTAAAATAAAAGCAGGTCTAGAAAAGCTAGGCTAGAAAAAGTGGCAGTCCCTATCTCTTCACAAAGCTCCTAGGGGAAATTCTTGAGCTAAGGGTGCACCTTGCTAGCACTTGGTGGTGTTCCTACATTTTCTCCTTGGTCAATGTAGTTCTCTGTGTATGAGAAACAATAGGAACAAAGGGTCACTGAGTGCAATGTCAGTGGCTACATCTACACATTCACTTAACTGAAGGGTAGGCTAATTAGCTGCAGAGTAAAGCATCATTGTCTCCAGGTGCTTGGAGACATGATGAAAATTGGTGATTTTTGCAGTTTAATTGAGTCACGCTGTACATGTGTGGGGGTTTTTTACAATTTAAATGAGTTTGTTATGTTGCAAGCTAAACCACATCTGCATGTAGTATAGTTTGCAACATAGTTATTTGTAACACAGCAGCCTTGCAGCCCTCCCTCCTCTCCCCTGCCCCCACTGCAGCAGGAGAGGTGGGCTGAAGGCAGAAGCAGAGAAGGGCCCAATCCTTTTTTTCCCCCCTATCTCACCTGTGGCAAGCTGCTGGTGGGCTGAGTGGCCCCAGAGCTGCAGGGAGCCATGGTCCTTCCTTCAATGGTGGCAGAAACCCCAGAGTCACCCAGGTGGGCTGCTAGAGAGTGGTTGCTGCCCCAGCTTGGGCTTGGGGAACAGTTGGATTGGCTAGGTGCTGCCTCCGATCTGGAGAAGTGCCCTCCTGCTAGTAGCCCACCCAGGTGGGCCCAGGAGGTGCCACCACCATGGAGGGAAGGACTGGGACCCCCTGCAGCTCAGGGACCACTGGCAGCTCAGTCCCCAGCTGTGAGAGGTGGGGCAGTCTGCGTGTGGAAGGGGGGAGGGTCAGGCCCCTCACTGCTTTTTTTTTTCCAGCAAAGCCTGCCCATGTGAGCTGCTGCCAGGCCTCATAGCCCATGAGCTATGGAAGAAAGGAAGGGCGGTCCTTCCCTCCACAGCAGCAGCAGCTCCTGGGGCCACCCGGGCAGGGTGCTAGCTGCACAGGTGCTGCCCCAGCTCACGGGCAGCACCCGCCAGATCCAGCTCTCCCCCAAGCCCACCCAGGGAGCAGTGCCCAGTTGGGCAGCACCACTGCAACTGTTGCCTTGTGGGGTCAGGCCAACTCTCAGGATCTCAGCATTGCACTGTTAGACAGGAGGGTGTGACACAATTGCACATATACAAACACACAAATCAATTAGGTGCATACACACACACATTACCAGCTTGGGCACATACACATCCAAACCAGTCTAGGCACATGCATACCTATCATCAATTCAAGCATATATACTATACACCCCAAAAGTTAGATACAGATCACTAATTTGTATATCATGTACACAATAACATATATGCACACATGCACTCATAAGTTCACACACATACAACCCACCTACACACACACACAGGTAAATTCCTAACTTGGGTGGTACAGTACGTATATGTGTGCTTGGGGTACCTGGGATACTTGGGGGAAGGTTAAGGTGAGAGAGAAAAGAGAGTTAAAGTATAGGGAGTAAAAGGTGCCAGAACCGGGATTAGAACTGGTGGACAACAGAGAAGCTGGCTGAGGAGTTTAGGCTTGGATTGACTTAAGGTACACACACAGGTAAATTCCTAACTTGGGTGGTACAGTACGTATATGTGTGCTTGGGGTACCTGGGATACTTGGGGGAAGGTTAAGGTGAGAGAGAAAAGAGAGTTAAAGTATAGGGAGTAAAAGGTGCCAGAACCGGGATTAGAACTGGTGGACAACAGAGAAGCTGGCTGAGGAGTTTAGGCTTGGATTGACTTAAGGTAGATATTGGGGGGGCGGGCAGATAAGTGGTGGCAAGGAGAAGACAGCCAGGAAAGAAACTGAGGCAGAAACCTGATTGTTCAGGGGAAAAGGAAAAGGCAGTGGGGATAAGACAGTGGCAAAGAAACAGGGGGGTTGGAGACAGAGAGGAGCTCAGGACAGGTGTTGGAGGTGGCAGTGAGCCAAAAGCAGGAGAGGGAGAAATGAGACAGAAGTTATAGGGGTGAGGAGCAGAGATTGAAGCAGAGCCAAAACATAGTAAAGCAAAACCCAACTTAGGGGTCCAAATAACAGTTTTATTAAACTGACAACACACTACACAGCCCTATGAAGTTATTGGTTCACACACACACACACACACACACACACAATGGCAGCAGGAGAAAGAGACTCAGTAGAAGGGTTGGAGTCCAGGTAGGGAAGAGAAGCGGAGTCCAAGTCCTTGTTTGAAGAGGGGGTGGGGTGATAGCTACCTATCCAGGCTGGAAAGGGGTCTTTGTCCAGTAGGTGTTGTCCAGAGGGGGGGTCGCTGTCAGGGTCTCTGGGTGGATAGGTGGTGTGGCATGGTGCTGGTCCAGATGGAGAAGGCGTCCCACTGGGTCTGTCTTCACTGCCTGTTTTTATAGGGGCAGACCTTATGTGACCCTAGTGACAGGAGGCATGCCCAGGCAAGGGTCAGCCCCTGGTGTACTGAGCACGTGTGCTCCATGCAGGGATGTGCAGTTTCAGGTGTCTGTCATGGTGGGGTACAATGGTAGAGTTGCTGGTTCTGCAGGGTCTTTTGTCTCTCAAATGCTGGGTTCTTGTCTCTGTTCCTGGGTGAGGTCCATGGTTCCTGGATGAATCAATGCGAGGTGATGGCCTGGTCATTACAGGCCATTCAGTAGAGGCCTGCTACCATTGTATTTCAATCATTCTCAAAAACTCTCATTCATCCGGGAACCAATTTATATGGGAGGGGTACATGAATCATACAGTTGCAACACAGAGGATGCCCAGGCAGAGGACACAAGATGGAGACTTGACATACACAATGGAAACCTGACATGACTTTGGTTCACTTACAAACACAGGCCTAAACCATTCAATATCCATATGAAACAATAAAAATCAATACGGAAATGATGACAATACAATATACAACAGTAAAAA